TGCAGAACCGGGGATTGAACTCAGGCCCTTGCACTTGCCAGGCAAGCGCTTATTCTACTGAGCCATCTCCCTGGTCCCTTCTTCTAAAAATTTTTAAAAATGTGATGAATTTCAATTTGTTGATTTTTTTTTCTTTCATGCGCCATGATTTTGATGTCTGAGTACACTTCGTCCAGCCATAAGCTATGACAACTTTTCCCTACGAGTTTTATAGCTTTACATACAGTTGTGCATATAAGCCCAGATTCACTTTTTTTTTTTTTTGGTCTTTTGGAGACAGACTCTCACCATGCAGTTTAGGCTGGCCTTGAGCTCATTTTGAATCAGCCCAAGCTGATTTCAAACTCATAATAATCCTTCTGCCTCAGTCTCCTGAGTCCTGGGACTTCAGGCATGCACCACCACACCTGGCTCCATGATTCACTTTGGATCAATTGTTTATAAGGTCTGAGGCTGAGGTTGATGATTTTGGAGGGTTTTATTGTTGGCTCCTGGATAGGGAGATATGTTTTAGCTCATATCCCCTTTTTCTGCCTCTCCGTGTTCTTAGATGTTATTTTATGTCTACTTTAAGTTTCACCTATTTCCGTCTGTCATTAGCCCCTCATGGTCACTACCCCGTGTTTATTATATTTCATCCCTAAATTTCTACTATCTTCCTGAGTGAAAGAATGTGCGTACACAGTGTCCTATGTTACTGACTGGAGGCCCGCTGACAATATGACAACAGAGCTGTCTTTCCCAGAGTACTATAAGTGCACAGAGAGGAAGGCAGGCCCACGACTGTCCTTCTTTTTACTCTTCACAGCACTAGCCGAAGGTGTCGTACCCAGTAAGGACTGAATGAGATTCCTGGAATCAAAATAATGTGAGTGCTTGCATTTTCTAGAAGAGAACCTGGCTCTTCCTTCCATATTCAGGTACAATAGGAAAAGGTAAAACCTAGAGGAAGGGCCAGCAGAACCCCCCTGGGTCACCCCTGGCTACCTGGTACCCGCGTCTGCTTCCCTATGGGCCAGAAGTGGTCACCCGGGTTAGCAAGGGCAGGCACGCAGCTTGGTGTGCACAAGCCAGTGCATGCGGCGGGCTGCGGCGGGCTGTGGCGGGGTGCTGCTGGTCCCCAGTCCCTTCCTATTTAATTTCCCTGTGACCCTGCTGAATGCACACTCCCCGGGGTATCCACTACAACACACACAAGTCTATCTGTGTGTACATTTGTAATTATTGTTGCTGTTTCCTCAGAGCAGCTTCCAAGTTCTTTTTTTAAATTTGAGTCTATTAGTACACATGTGTAGCATAACATGCCTACATGCCTTGTGGGATATCCGTTCATGAACATGACATGTATCAATGGAGGTCTTCTTCCTCTTCCCCTCCCCCCTCCCTTTGAGAATGGTCTGTCTCCTTATGTCTTTATACCATGAGTTTCTCATATAAGAGAAGCCATATGATCCTTACACTTGTCCTTCTGATTTATTTCACTTATCGTTACGGTCTCAAGGTGCATCCAAAAGGACTTAAGTTTTTCTTTATGGTAGAAGAGTATTTTGTCATGCTCAAATACCACATCTAGAACACATAAAGAACTCAAGCAAAGTAGGAGACCCAATCAAAAATGGCCAAGCAGAAATGAATAGACACGTCACGGAAGTACAAATGGCCAATAAATACGTGAAGAGATGCTCAACGTCGCTGGCCACTAGAGAAATGCAAATGAAAGTGGCACAGAGACTACCCTAGCAAGAATGGCTGTACTAAGAAATCAAATAACAGCAAACGTCGCAGAAGCTGCAGGGAAAAAGGAGCAACTAGTACAACCACTATGGACCTCTGCGTGGAGGAGAATATTAAAAAACTAAAGCTAGAAATGCCATTCGAATTTCTCTAGGTGTATTCCTGAAAGCGTTAAAGACACCGCACCGCAGTGACACGCTCATACTCACGTTTACAGCAGTGCAGTTTGTAATCTTGGAAGCAGCGCGTATGTCTATCAGCAGCTTCCAAATTCTACCTTTTGGAAATATCTTTTGAATACTTTACCTACCTTTATACGCCCCTCAATTAAGGGCTCCTGACTATTCCATTCATTCCACGCTAGTTTCTTACAGACCTAGTGCTTAGGCGCTCCCAGGCGTGCTTGGAAGGTCACGTGCTACGCGTTCCCAGAGGTCTGAAAGCTCAGGAGCAAAGGTCAGAGCGCTTTTTCCAAAGGGTCTTCCTAAGGACTTTAAACAAACCTTTTCTTTTGCGGTGTCAAGTGGTTAAAATAGCATTAAAGGAAAGATCTAGAGAATTAGAGTCTGCTGATAAACAATGGTTATCAACAGGACATAAACCACCGTACAGGGACAGAGGAGTTTTCCAGTGCCAACAGGAAGCAGGGCAGGTCTGGTATGATTTTGCAGCCTCTAACTCTGAGCGCTGCACATTATTTGCTAGGTGCTTACATAGGCCCATCACCCTCCACATAATCTTTCAAGAGCTGCTTCTATTAATAGCTAAGAGGATTTAAGACTGATACTGTACTGTTACAAAGATACGCATAACACCGAAAAGGGAATTTATTACTCTTTGGGGAAATCACATTACCTATATGTAGAAACTAACATTCTGGAAATTTACCTTAGGTGACAGCCTTCAGAAATAGCTCCTCTTTACTCCTTAGTTTCATATGTTCCTATATTAGTTTATCAGTTTTTTCCAATAGCAACTTTTGTAGACAGAAATCTATAATTTTCAGTATAACATGAAATGTAGTTTTATGTCAGACAAACAATCCATAATAGCTACATCTAGGTTTTCTTGATTTTTAAAACATTATCTCCTTTTTTTTTTTTTTTGCGGAACTGGGGATTGAACTCAGGCCCTTGCCAGGCAAGTGCTTCTTCTACTGAGCCATCTTCCTGGCCCATTAGCTCCTAAAAGAAACAAACAAAAAGCAGCTGGGGATGTAGCTTAGTGGTAGGACTCACGCTAGCATGCGCGAGACCCTGGGATCCATCCCCACCACCCCAAGCCACAACCAAGCAAAAAGAAGAGCAATGGTAAAAGGAAGCTGCTTAGGTTGGAGAAAATTAGACAGAGTAACTGCCAACTAAGTTCTACTTTTCCTTTGGGATTGGCGCAAAACATTCTCAATAAATCTTCGGTAAGATTCAGTGAGTAATGACATGAAAATTGTCTTGTAGTTTCACATTTTCTCTGGATAGACCTTTTCGTTTGCCGAGAAAGAAAGGTAGCTATGGCGGAGATGATCTTACCGTGACGTCAGGCATGGCTTGTAGGTCCCCTTTACTGCTGGCGGCTTGGTGAATGTTTGCATAGCGTCCCTGTGCCCTAAACAGGGGCAGAAATCTCTGCATGGATGACCTGGAGAAAGGCTCCTGAAGGTACTTGTGGTCCTCTCGTGAGAAGCTGGGCATGTCTGCGCAACAAAGGCCCCAAGTAAGTCCAGCAGCCTGGCTCTCTCAATGCTAGTGCAGGATTCACTCGCTTCCTCTTCGCCTGGCTAATGTTGAGCCTCTCCTAGGGGCCTGAAAAGTCACTCTCATCCAGGCAGAAGGATCATCTGTCTCATGGACCAGTAGCTTAGCCCAGATTTTAGCGTCCTATCCCAGGCAGAGCGGCTCACTGTGAACCTCGGGCTGTGTTTGACTGCCCTCTGTGGGTGACAATGTCCTCCTCATGCTACTGTTGTACATCAAAACTGCAGGAAAGGATTTGAGGGCTATGCCGGCACCTGGTATTGGACATCCAGCCTCCAGCATGATAAGAACACGAAGTCCTGTTGTTCACAAGCACTGTGCCTGTGGTGCTGCGCTGTGTGAGTGGACTAAGTCCTAGGCGGCCCCTGCAGCAGTCCTCTGAGCAGATGCTCACCGCTTTCTGACCGTGTCCCACGCCTTGGTCCCTCTCAGAGAAGAGGACTGCTCCATCGTGGAACCTGAGGACGCTGCCATCGTGCCAGTCGGAGACGCAGGTGGCCTATCAGGATGACATGCAGATCAGGCTATTGTCAGAAACAGGGCCTGAATTTTACCTGCCTTGATGTCAACTATTCCATTTGAAAACTGACCACATTTGTAAGTGGCTTCCAAGTAGAAAGCAGGAAAGGGATCATGCAGCAGCCGGGAGTCCTCCTTTTCCTCTGTGGTGTCCTCCACTGTTCTTCCCCTTGCCCACCTGCTCGGGATTAGGGGAGAGTCAGTCCTCAAATGGAGCCCCCAGCAGCCCCTCCTTTCTGTGGGCAACTGGCCTCGCAGAGCAGCGCTAGATTTACTTCTCTCGCTGCACGGAGCGAAATTATCTGCCGTCTTTGTGCTCCACTAACAAAATCCCCAAGGGCTCTGGAGCGGTGGACAAATCGTGGACACTCAGTAAATGACTCTCCAACTGAATGAGGATTACGGACGCTTGCCGTGGCAGGCTTTATCTCTTTCTAGAGTTTGCTCTCTGTGCTGTAAAAGATGCTATTCATACTCTGTCCTGAAGTATGATTAAGGGGCTTTGTTTAAGCTGGGTAGCCAGCCTGCCCAGGAGGCCTGCACAAAATACGAGGCGCAGGCGGGGTAAGCAATTGTGGGCGCTGGAAATCCGGTCAGGTCCTGGTCAGGACTGTCTTTGCAGCTTGAAGATGGCTGCTTTCTTGCTAAATTCTCACATACCCTTTCCCTGGGGCAGGGGC